TCCTAGTTTTACGGCCATAACATCGAGGTTTTCATATCGACATTCTGGGTGATTTCAGTAATACAAGTTTGCCCAGCTGTTTTAAACGAGTCCCAAAATTTTTCGAAGATAAAACGGCCTGATCGGATCTGTTTCGTGCAGTAACAGGACGATCGAAAGAAATCAGACTATTGAAGTAAAACTCGCTCTGATAACTCACCTGCTAACTTGCAAATGGATAAACACGTAATTGCCGTCAAGCGCATCGGTTAACAGCTTCCTGTATTTTTTCTTCAGCGCTGAACAAGCAAGTACAACGGGGCCGTTAGTCTCGATGACCACTTTGGACAGGCGGCGCAGCCACGGATATCGATCTTCATCCGTCAGCGGAATTCCTGAAAATCTTAGAAGAATCGTGGTTGGACAAAGAAGATTAGATAAGTATGAGTAGTAATTAAACGAGGAGATGCAGGATTGGCGGAGATAAGGCAGACTGATAATGAGTGATGTGACCTTGAGCCATCTTTTTTCGATTTTCCGTCGAATGATAGTGATCACCGTCCGCGAAATGAACATCTAGTTTCTTGGCGAGCAATTCACCGATCGTCGTCTTGCCGCACCCAGAAACACCCATTACACAGATCAGTTTGGGTACCATAATAGTGCTGAAACACAAACTGTGAGAGAAATTTCTAAGCGGCCTCCTCGCACAATCAGGGAATTGCGGTGGGAAACTTCCAGCCACAACATATTAGCTCTTTGGTCGTTTAGATATACTGGACAGAAGATTATTATCAAAGCCAAGTTGGAAATTTGCGTGCCATGGGTTCTCCGGTAAGCAGTGGGAATCGCGATCGATTGTGGTCCCCCATTGAAGAGCTACAGGGTGTTAATCAAAAACTGATAGCCGAACTTCACACAATAAATGCAAAACAAAATCTTGGTTCTAAAATTGCGAGTACCGAAGAACTGGGTTGCCTCACCGAAATGCTAGATGGCATGATGAAAGAACTGAGTCTTCTCAAGGACCAAAATTCGCAGCTGTTGAAGGAGCGTGACATGTATAAGCAAGCCATTCAGGAGAAAAAACGCTGAATGAGTACTTTCTCACAAAACGGGTACAGGAATATGAGTTGGGGAATTTGTCATTGCGTACGCAATGTGATCATGCTAGAAAGAGCTTGGGGGACTATTTCGAAAAGAAAAGCATAACGACGGTGCTGTGGGAGCGGAGGTCAACCATACCTCGTCCCTACCGTACAGGCCTCAGAGGTCAGCCATGCCATCCAAAATTCTACCATTGGGAATGACAGAGCCAAAAACAAGCTTCCTACCGTAATCAATCTCTAGGAGAGGCGGAAACATTCGAAGTAGCTCTAACAGTTGTGTTAGCAGCAATCAACCGCTGCAAGTTTCTCAATGGCTCCCTCATTTGCGATTGCTTAGAAGTAAGCTGATATGGTTTTCACACTTTGGCATGTGCCAATACCAATTTACCATCGAAATAAATAAATGAATCGTAGAGGGATTGATTGTCTTAAAAAAGGAATTGAACTCTCGAACCTCAGAGTGAGAGAAGTGCTGCTTGCCACTGCATTTTTTTTTAATTCATTTTACCTGACAAAGTTTCAGTGCGAATTTTCGGCAAAAATTTTGGAAAACTTCGTTACACATAAGAATAAAGGAACTGTTTTTGCAGTAACCGCAAGATTTTTTTCGTAGCCGTCATCTTCAGAGCCAGCTGCGTAGTACCACAATACCGGTTTTGTAAGTTTAATGCAAAAACAAACATTGACGAAAATATGTGTGTGTTTGTGGTGTACATGTATGTACATGTGTCCATTCCGATCTTTTAAGTCCGTGGCCAGACAAAGTAGAAAAGTAAGGTTCTGAAAGCAAATCACGAATGCAATAAATCAATTTTCACATCCTAAGCAATAATGTATTTATACGTATGATTTTAG